TCTTTGAAATTAGGTACATGATACATTTCATACACTTCGACGAAACGTTGTTGACGAATCGAAAATCTAGTAAGGCATGCTTGCTATGCGCTGGCCGCTGGTTTCTAAACGCGCTGCATGCGATTTGGAAACTCATTCCATTTTTTTCTTCATCAAGCGCAAATAATTCAAAGTTTGTAAATTTAAACACGTGTAAACCTTATGACTATCGCTAACACACAACTTAATTTTCACTGACAACGCAGAGTCAACTACGCGGCGGCCGGCGCGACGTCTACCTAAGTTTGCTCGTCGACCGCCCACCCGACTTTAGCTGGTTGACAAGGCGGCGTCCACCTAAGTTTGCTCGTCGATCGCCCACCCGACGTTAGCTGGTTGACAACGCGGCGTCCACCTAAGTTTGCTCGTCGACCGCCCACCCGACACGTTAGCTGGTTGACAACGCGGCGTCCACCTATGTTTGCTCGTCGACCGCCCACCCGACGTTAGCTGGTTGACAACGCGGCGTCCACCTAAGTTTGCTCGTCGACCGCCCACCCGACGTTAGCTGGTTGACAACGCGGCGTCCACCTAAGTTTGCTTGTCGACCGCCCACCCGAAGTTAGCTGGTTGACAACGCGACGTCCACTTAAGTTTGCTCGTCGACCGCCCACCCGACGTTAGCTGGTTGACAACGTGACGTCCACTTAAGTTTGCTTGTCGACCACCCACCCGACGTTAGCTGGTTGACAACGCAGCGTCCACCTAAGTTTGCTTGTCGACCGCCCACCCGACGTTAGCTGGTTGACAACGCGGCGTCCACCTAAGTTTGCTCGTCGACCGCCCACCCGACGTTAGCTGGTTGACAACGTGACGTCCACTTAAGTTTGTTTGTCGACCACCCACCCGACGTTAGCTGGTTGACAACGCGGCGTCCACCTAAGTTTGCTTGTCGACCGCCCACCCGACGTTAGCTGGTTGACAACGCGGCATCCACCTAAGTTTGCTTGTCGACCGCCCACCCGACGTTAGCTGGTTGACAACGCGACGTCCACTTAAGTTTACTCGTCGACCGCCAACCCGACGTTAGCTGGTTGACAACGCGGCGTCCACCTAAGTTTGCTCGTCGACCGCCCACCCGACGTTAGCTGGTTGACAACGCGACGTGCACTTAAGTTTGCTTGTCGACCGCCCACCCGACGTTAGCTGGTTGACAACGCGACGTCCACTTAAGTTTGCTCGTCGACCGCCCACCCGACGTTAGCTGGTTGACAACGCGGCGTCCACCTAAGTTTGCTTGTCGACCGCCCACCCGACGTTAGCTGGTTGACAACGCGGCGTCCACCTAAGTTTGCTCGTCAACCACGAGTGGACGACCTTTACCAATCACGCTAACCACTGCATCATCAAGCTTTTAAACATAGCTTGTATAAAAAAACATTGGCATAATTATATAAAGTACTCACTATACTCACATAGAATAAATACTTATACAACTACATTTTATTTCATTCAATAGCCGTTAATTCCGAAGTATAAAAAATTACAGTTAGGTACACTTTGGGTGTCTGGTGCGGAGAACTACATTACAAACCAGTCCTGTTCCAAATACCGCAGATCGTGTAGAAATTTATTTCGTATTTTTTATGTTTGCCTCATAATGACCTAAAATGCATTATGCTGGGACTGGTTGTGGCATGATTCTCCAAACATCTGACGGTCTACAACCAGACTTTGCTCTTGTTGCACGACTGTGAACGTAGTGTTTGTATACACGTAAGCTCTAGGACGAAGGGTCCCGTACGTTAACGTTTCTAGTTTTTTGGGTGCCTAAATAATTCATAATTATTATTCTAGTTTTTTGGGTGCCTAAATAAATTCATAATTTATTCCCATAGATACAATAATTCCACGGTACATCTTCACAATCTGAACTGATGCTTTTCGGTAACCGCCCATATTACCACAGCCAAATGTGCGATACATTCGGCAAAAGACAGAAATTCAATCACTGCCCTATCCTTTTTAAAAAGTTTTACTTACCATCTGGGGAAGTTACCTTAGGAACAAAATTAGGAAAATAAATATTTAAATTTGGCAAGGTGATAAGTGGTATACTGGCGTAGTTATGTGAGTTAAATACGCTTATGATACTTACTATATCTATATCGCCTCATCGATATTTATATTATTACAATTTTAAATTAAATCTGAACATAAATAGTTAACCAAGTTTCTTTAAAACAGGTACCAGAATGTGTATCATGTTTGTGTTTTTCTATCTTAAATGGCAAACGCTTGTAACTAATATATACCTATAAACTGCGCATTTCATTTGCGTTTTTATTAAAATAAGCACGCGTCATCAGCTTGTTTAAAATACGTCGTGTGCAATAACCGGCATTGACCCTTAGGCTCAACTCACACTGGCGCAGGGTTTAAGCGTCGCGTCGCATCATGTTTTTGCTTTAAGAATACCTTAACAGTGGAAAAATAGAGAGGATTTTTTACAGACGAAAAATATGAAACTTAGTATTAAGGTGGTAAGGTGCTTAGGGTGCCCGAATTCGAGTAATGTCTTACGTGCACACGATAACGAACTAACGACTGAGTGTAATTATTATTAGTTAAGTTTTTAAGCTATTGCATAGATTTTATCGCGGGCTTTGAGCGCGGCGCCCGAATCGAGAAATTTCGTAACGAAAATAACCTGACAGCAGCGCATATGAACAATTTTCACACAACACACAATTTTCGTTTTTTCAGTATCGATCGAAACGGCGCAGTGTGTTAAATTTTTGCCACGGGACCAATATTCGACGCATTACTGCGGTCGTCGGTTCAAATTCTGCACTCGTATTTTTTATTATATTTTTATCCTTTTTTTATATATATATTTGTTTTAGACCCCAGCACCTGTTCTTATTTTTATTTGTCTCCCTTTTATTTAGACTTTTTTAATTATAATTAAAATTTTTGGACTTAAGATGATAAACTGTAGAGCTTGTGGAAGTTTTTTGGCGCCGGGCAATGCTGTTGTTTGGTGTGCTTGCCCAGCCATAAGGCCTGCCTCGCCATCTATCAAAGAAAAACAAACTGCATAAATAAACAAAATAAATAATTATAATTGCATAAGTTGATAAATAATGCTTTACCGCGGCAGTCCCTGAGTGCCACACGTTTTTTTTTTTTCAAAATTGGTGGCCAGCGAGACTCAAAATAAAACTAGATACGTTTGTACTCTAAACAAACACGACGGTATTTTTTATGACACACTCGATAAGTAAATAAATACGAGTACTATTCAACCTTGGATGACCTTGATAAAACCAGCTTTCGCAACGGTCAAATCACTATAAATAAAATACTTAGATGAATCAAAGTATTTTTACTATGATTACCTGTAATAAACATGCATGAATGGCTAAAAGCACTCAAAGGCATAATAGTTTTAATAGCGTTTGTAGAAGTTCATCATCTTTTGCAAGGCTGATCATCGGCTGGGTGACTAGAAATTTATGCTCTTGAGTGCATTCGCACTTTGGAAGACCCTTTGAGCCATTGGTCCTCCCTATGGCGTTGGGGTCTTAACTTTTTAGTTAGTTAGAGCCTGATCTAATGATTGTCTATATAGGGAACCTTTTTATTATTATATAGGGAAACGGGTCCCCGGATTGGGAGTCACCGCGCGTCATGTCCAATTGTCTCACTATCCCGTCGCGTTGATGCTATGGTGCATCCCCTCCCGGGCAATCATAGAAGGCCCGCTTAGGGGTCTAAGGGAGGACTCGAGCTCGCTGCCTCCTAGCTCCCTCTCTCCGCGGCCTCTTTCTGCGAGATAATGTCATCCAGGAGCTGTCGCTGCCCAGCATGGCACGCTTCTAACGTTATGACATAATAGGCCGATGTACTTTACGCTAATTTTAATAAAATTTAAATTTAAATGAGTTTTTTTAGTTATAAAACTGATATTCGAAAATAACAAGTCGCTGGGTCGCTTTTCCAGATATAATTTTGAGATTTGTTTTCTCTATTAGACCAATTAAAGTTGAATTTATAAATACAAATAAATAAATATTTCCGACACTCACACCAATTAGCCTAGCCCCAAAGTAAGCACTGAAAAGGCTTGTGTTATGGGATACTACGGTAAAGGATAGAATACATATACTGTACATATATAAGTATATTTATATAGAAATACATATTAAACATCCATGCCTGGAGTACAAATGCTCGTATTCATCACACAAACATCTGCCCCCACCGGGATTCGAACCCGGGACCTCTCGAGTCGGCGAAACCATGAAACCCGGCGTACAAACCACTCGGCCACGGAGGTCGTCTAATTAAACTTACTACTACTCGTTTTTCTTGTAATACATAACGCAGAACACAACTACAAGGTATCTGAAACAACATTGCTTGATCTTTACGGGGTAAGAGATTAGGGAACGCACCAGGATTAGATGTAGCACTTGCCACTATCGCCTTGACGATATATATATATTGAACTTGACGATATGCGTGGATTCGTGGGTACTAACTAAAGCCGATGATTAACTGAGGAGCTCAATGGCGCAGCGCGTTCGGCTGTGATCGTTGAAATTAAGCAACTTTCGCAGTAAAAATAATAATCGGTCATTGGATGGGTTACGAAAAATCTTCTATCTCGAGTTTCTCCGTGCTTTAGAAGGCACGTTAAGCCGTTGGTCCAGACTACATCTGCAGTCGTTAGCACCCGCCAATCCGCACTAGACCCGCATGGTGGGTCATGGCCCAATCTCCCTATTCCATCCATGGGGAAGGCCTGTGCCCCAGCAGTGGGGACATTAATAGACTGATGATGATGATGAACTAAAGTCGTATTAGGTTATATGACTTAACGTGCCTTTTCAATTTTTTGAAGAATGAAGGAGTAGGTACCATAGTACTCAAAAAATTACGATAACTAAATTTTTGATCTCTAGCTATGACTGGCCATTGCGATAGTTGCTTGACTTACACGATCACAAACTGAACGAGTTTTCTGTCTTAGAAATCATAAATAAATAAATAAAATATTCTTTTGCAGTAACCATCCCCCTCCTGAGCTTCGGCATGGTCCAAGGCTGGTTGTCCCCGATGATATCGGTGCTGCAGTCCACGGAAGGGCCATCACCAGAGCCGTTTAGCGGTGACGACATATCCTGGACCACTTCCGTCACTTACATCACCGCCATCATCTTCGGGGCGCCCATGGGCTACCTCACTGACAGGTTCGGGAGGAAGATGATGACCTTGGGTACAACACTTTCTTTGATTGTAAGTATCTGCCTGCTTCTTTAAGGAATGTTTATTGCTTATGTGCCATAAGTCACTAACTATCTTGGATCTTTATATTGATCGATGTAAGATCCATACTAATATTATAAATGAGAAAAAGGGTCTTTCTGTCCGTCTGCTTGTCTGTTCTTTACGCTTAAAATGCTGAATTGATTTATATGAAATTTGGTAGGTATAGATATAGTTTGAGTCACGGGAAAGGACAGGATAGTTGTCATCGTAAATCGTCATTTAAGAGGCTGAAAAGAGGGATGGAAGTTTGTATGGGAAATCAATTGAACCACGCAGACGAGCCGACGACCAGAAAGAGCATGAAGAGAGAGAGTGAAGAAGCATTTTTGCAGGCCGGCAAGGTGAGGATGGTTGGTGTGGCAGTTTATAACTGCTGTACCAGCTATCTTCGCATTTGGACTTTATCACCACTTAAAATCAGGTGGGGTGGAGTCCTTTGCCTACCTGGCTATAAAAAAAAGACGAAATCTTGGGCACCCATTTGTACAATATATTGAAAACATATTACAGTTTGTGGTAACTTCGTTTTATTTGTGGTTGTCTGCAAATCATTATAGGATTTTGGAGTTAAGTTAAACAGACCCCTTTACATTGGTATAGACATTAGTTAAGCAAGATACAGTGATGGACTAGAATCAGTACATTACATGTATGGATAAGTCGCTAGTTATTTAAGATATAGTTGAAACACAGACTAGATTGAATTGAAGTAGACGCTGCATGTACTTCAAATTGTATGGAAACCAAGCTTCTCAGATTTTGAGTAGGTACTCACGAGTACAAAATATGTGGTTACAATCATGGGCCCGGGTCACCTATTTCATTTATTTATTCCGTTTTTACAGCTTCATAAGACATAGTTATATATTTTTTAAATATTAAGATTGACGTTCAGTATCGAGAACGGTGACGCTTCAGTACCCCTAGCACGAACCAATATCGAATTGGTATCGTTTGCGAGGCCGAAATGTCATTGTCAAATGTGTACTGATTTTTAGTTCTCGTTACGTACTTTGTGCCGCTGCTGTTCAAGTTTCCATACAAAATTTGACATTGACATTTCAGTACCCTTAGTACAAGTTGGAGCTTACGAAAACTATCATAGTTTTCGTTATTGTAAATTATGTTTCTATGTCCATTTTGGTGAAAACTAACCAAATATACTTAAAATTTAAGAAGACGCAAATGATTCAATGTTATAATTTAAACACTATTTATTTGTATTGAAACGAAAACAATAAAATCAGTACCCTTAGTAAGAGTGCGAGCTCACGAAAACTATCATAGTTTTCGTAATTGTAAAACTCGTACTAGAACCCCGGTTTGCAAACCATTCGAATTCAATAATGGTTCTTTTTCAGCTCTTTTTTTTTTTGTTGTTTCTGTTTTTTGTTTTTTATATCATGCTTGCTTTTTTGCATTTATTTTTGTGCCTGTTCTTTTGCACTTTTATCTTTTCTTTTTTATACTTATTACAATGTTTTCTTATATTCTATTAAATTTCTTATTCCTTTTTATATATATAATTTTATTAATTGATTTTATTCATGCACATACACTACTTCTTATCTATATCTATATCTATAGTATCTTACATACAATTTGACATGTGTATATTAATAGGTATTTTATCTTTGTTTCTCTCTATGACTTCTTTAACTATTTCTTTGCTGAATCTAATAAAAATCTCCCTGTCTTTATTATCCTTCATTATTACCCTTCGGTTTTCCTTGTTAAGATGTGTGTTTAATGCCATTTGTGTATTGTGTCTTGCTAAGTTGTGAAGGGGGCATTCTAATAGAACATGAAATATGTCCTCTGCGGTGTCAGGTCACGGGGTCGGGATTGGTTCAGGGTAAGCAGCGGTGCGAGTGATATTTTTGTATCGCATCAGTCTACAAGCTAAGGTGGCCTCTTACCACCAGGCGAGCCAAAACCTCGTTTGCTACCCTTTTTTTTACATTAAATAGGTTTACGCTTGACGGACACGCGCCTGATGAAGAGCAACGTAGCAGCCTAAGGTAGGACGCGCTTCCCTAGAAGAAACCGATTCACTCGCGACTGTAAGAGCCTCAGATTATAGGTGACTGGAAACAGAGATTCCGGCAAAGAGTTCTACTATCTAGCTGTTCTGACGATATAGGTGGAAGCAAACCGTTTAGTACGAGTTTGCGGGACCTCTACGGTATATCCAGTGCTGTCTTTGATCTATTGGAGGCTCTGGGGATATTAGGATAATGGAGCCCCCTATGACTTCCGTTTGATGATTTAACAGGAACTAGGGACTTTGTATTTGATCTGAGGGGGCCCCATATCGATCGCGGGGCCCTGGGCACTTGCCCAAAGTGCCCACTGGGAAAGATGGGGCTGGGTATATCTGTGGCGTTTTGCCGTCTCTCTGGTAGTTCTGTGGTAAAAAGGTGAAGGTGGAATATTAATATGAAATAAATGCTTTTTCTGCTTTCCTGTTTTCTATAAGAGATGTTCCTTCTGCAGCAGGCGCACTTACCGCCGTTGGAATTGTACCACTTTGATCACCTCGGGCTTGCTATTGTTATCGCTATCCCTTACGATTTCATTTTGTTATTTCTGACCGCCCAATATTTTCAAATGCCCCTCGCTCTTTTTTATCTTTTGTATTGGTAACAAAAACATCAAAAAAAATGAGTGTAACGTATTTGAAAACCTTCGGTGGTCAGAAACAACAAAATGAAAACGTAAGTGATAGCTATAGTCATAGAAATTAGATCGGAATGACCCCTTGGATGACGTAACTTTTTTTAAAACTTTTTTGTATTAAAATATCAGGTAGATTTGAAATCACACTACAAAATGCTTCAAATCATGTTTACATAAAACTCAAGGTGTGCCCCTTCCCTGATCTGCCATTTATCATAGAAACAGGTTCTCATTTGGCCGTTTGTTACTCATCAAATGAGAATTTGAACTTGTTATTGTTTTAATCACAGACCTTGGGATTGGTTTCATTTCGATTCATTTCGTGTTAGTGAATATTCGATAAAGCGGTTGACACACCGGTTGTAATAACAAAAAGGAGTGTTACACACCTCTAAGAACCTGTTTATTTACGTATACACTAAGCGAAAACTGAAAATCAAAGCTTTCAGATTCAAATAATATAATTCATTTCATGATGAGATACAAGTTGATAATGAATTTTTAAACAATTTCAATGGGAGATTTCCTCCCATTTCTTAGATTTATTTTCTTGTTTTAATCAGATTTTTTGGCAACATGATCTCATTTTAATTTGGGAAGGTCTAATGAGTTGTATGTAATAAAGAAAGACGATGAAACTCTGATTTAATTTTAAGAAATAATAAAGAGGGAAAGCTAGGCAGGTACCAAGGTACATAGTTATTAGATGTTGCTATGGCACAAAAAGTAAAAATAAAAACTATATAGCTTATTAAAATGCATCTGAACTGAGAACATGTGACATGTGTGACATCATTGAGGTTATTATTTTATAATAGCAATTTATTTATTACTATTGTAAAAAAATGTCACGTCTTATAACTGTTATTTTTGTTTTATTATATTATAATACATATGTTAGTCACAGAAATTTAAGTAATAGTAAAAATACTTTACTAAGGTTTATCTTCATTTACTTATGAAATAATTCTTTGTTTTTCTAATGGTAATTTAATAATTTATTATGAATTACTAATTTTGACAAAGAATTGTACCACTGTCGCATATACTTTCTATACATATCTAGATTATATTGTAGGTGCGAAGTTTTGCTATACATATAAGATAAAAGTATTCATACAGGAACATAATAATATTGTTCCTCCTTACCCCTCGTTTCCACCAAGGTCACACTAATATTATAAAGGCGTAAGTTTGTGTCTGTGTAAGTATGTCTGTTTGTTACTTCTTCACGTCTAAACGGCGGGAGCGATTTTAATAAAATTTGGTATGGAGTTAGCTGACACCCTGGATTAACACATAGGCTACGTTTTACTGAGGGAAAATATACCAAATAAACCTCGGGTAACACCGCGGGGCACAGGTAGTACATGTATATAACAAATTTTATACAACGTCTTAATTTTTGTTCACACTTATATACATGTATAAAATATGTAGTATACAATGCTTGCATCAAACTTGTTGGATACACAAAACATGTGAAGTAAATAGTGATTTATACTTGTAAAGATACTCGTTGTGTATGCAAAAGAATGCCACAACAAGTATTTCTACAAGTTTTGTGTAAAACTAGTATATGACTTGTTTCTTGGTGTAAACGAGGGGTTAGTGTGTAAAAGTACATATAAGAAATAGTGCCTTTACACACTAACCCCCTAATATGTGGTCATTATTAGATAGATTTAATTTTCCCGTAAAGCTTTGTAATATAACCAGCTATAGTTATAACGAATGTAAGTTAGTTGGTAAACACACACATCAAAATCAAATCAGTTCTCAGGAGTTGAGATATTCATAAACATCCAATGTAAAGAAACAAACAAAATAATTTCAATGTGCGCGCGCGCAGGTATTAAAACAACTGGTGCGTGAGTCGGACCTGATAACGTTGATCGAGTTTTTGCTTTGTGAAATCTCTATTGATTCTTGGATATTTTATTAGGCCCTCTTTTCTTTAACTAGTATTTATTTCCCTATCATATTTTCTGACATACTAGTGTACTAATTAAGGCTTCATTTCTGTACTTTTTCCGGAAAGCAGAAACCTACTTACTTAAGAAAAGAAAATCTTAATTTCATTGCCAACTAACATCACTGCATATGATAAAATAAAGTATTCTTGTAATGATCTCTAAATCTACTACTTAGACGGATATTCATAAGGTTAGCTGAAGGTTATAAACTGTTTTGCTGGTTGCCTACACGAATGACAATTTCATAGCTGACTTCAACGAGGCAGACTTTTGCAATTGCACAGCTGTTGTTGCCAAACTCAGATTCGCTGC